ATGGCTGCAGTCTAACTCATTGGGAAAGACCCTGATGCTGGGAAAGATTGAAGGTGAGAGGAGAAGGGGACGACAGAGGATGAGATGGCTGGATGGCATCACCGACTTGATGGACATGAGTTTGAGTAAACTCCAGCAGTTGGTGATGGACAGAGAGGCCTGTCATGCTGCAGTCCATGGGGTCGCAAGGAGTCAAACACGACTGAGTGACTGAACTGAACTGAGCCATTTCCTACTCCAGAGGATCTTCCCAATTCATATATCAAACCAGCATCTCCTGAGCTGCAAGCAGATTCTTTACCTCCAAGTTGCCATGGAAGACCTTAGAACCCTTGACAGTGTCATTTCCAAGCCTGTATTGGCACCTTTCACCCTCTGCATGGGAGACACTGGTGAAGATGTGTGGCTCTTGGTGGACACTGTAGAGTCCAGTGGTCAGGAATGCACACCCTGGAGGTGCAAGGGTTTCAGTTCCCCCTCCGCCACTCGTGATGTTATCTGGGCAACCCTGGCTAAGGGACTTAACCTTTCTGTGCACCCATTTGTCTGTCCATCTGTGAAATGAGGCCGTAATGGCACTTGCCACACAGGGCTGATGGGGGATCAAATGAATTACAATACGTACAGAGCATAGTAATTCTTGATCAGTGTCAGCTCTGACTGTCCGTCTGGCTGGCTTCCTACTCTGTTAGCATCCTCTGACTGTGGTAACAAATTACCATAGATGCAGGGTTTGAAACAACAGAAATGCAGGCTCTCACAGCTCTAGAGGCCAGAGCCTGAAATCAGCATTACTGGTGTTAGCGGGGCCACATTCAAGTGTCCTGTGCCTGTCGTGGGTCCTTGACAGACGTTACCTCTCGCTTCGCCATTCATTTGGTTGTGACCAGACCTCGGGCTACACAACTGGATACAACATGGCTTAGGGCCTGGCCTGCAGGCTTTGGTCACCTTGTTCTGGAGACAGACACAGAGGTTCACCTTCATGGCCCCGTTGTCTTGGCCTGTACAGGGGGGTGGGCTCTAAGGATTAGGTGTGTGAAGATGAGCTTGCCCACCTCTGGGGGCCCTGAGACCCTTGTGCTTAGAGGACTCCAAGCAAAGGCTTGTTGATTGCCTGGCAGAGTTGCATTTAGGGGATTCACAGGGAGGGGGCTCCTCTGCCTACACTGAGATGGACCATGTCCTTACAAGCTTCTTGCTTTCCAGGAGACCCCACTGCCTGTTTTTCATGATGGGCTATGCTGACCCAGTGGGCTTCTGCAAAGAGGGTCCTGCAGTTGGAATTCCTCCCTGGGCTCCTCCAGACCACCTCCCTCTATNGTTTATTTTTGTGTATGGTGTTAGAAAGTGTTCTAGTTTCATTCTTTTACAGGTGGTTGACCAGTTTTCCCAGCACCACTTGTTAAAGAGGTTATCTTTTTTCCATTGTATATCCTTGCCTCCTTTGGGACTTAACCTTTCTGTGCACCCATTTGTCTGTCCATCTGTGAAATGAGGCCGTAATGGCACTTGCCACACAGGGCTGATGGGGGATCAAATGAATTACAATACGTACAGAGCATAGTAATTCTTGATCAGTGTCAGCTCTGACTGTCCGTCTGGCTGGCTTCCTACTCTGTTAGCGTCCTCTGACTGTGGTAACAAATTACCATAGATGCAGGGTTTGAAACAACAGAAATGCAGGCTCTCACAGCTCTAGAGGCCAGAGCCTGAAATCAGCATTACTGGTGTTAGCGGGGCCACATTCAAGTGTCCTGTGCCTGTCGTGGGTCCTTGACAGACGTTACCTCTCGCTTCGCCATTCATTTGGTTGTGACCAGACCTCGGGCTACACAACTGGATACAACATGGCTTAGGGCCTGGCCTGCAGGCTTTGGTCACCTTGTTCTGGAGACAGACACAGAGGTTCACCTTCATGGCCCCGTTGTCTTGGCCTGTACAGGGGGGTGGGCTCTAAGGATTAGGTGTGTGAAGATGAGCTTGCCCACCTCTGGGGGCCCCGAGACCCTTGTGCTTAGAGGACTCCAAGCAAAGGCTTGTTGATTGCCTGGCAGAGTTGCATTTAGGGGATTCACAGGGAGGGGGCTCCTCTGCCTACACTGAGATGGACCATGTCCTTACAAGCTTCTTGCTTTCCAGGAGACCCCACTGCCTGTTTTTCATGATGGGCTATGCTGACCCAGTGGGCTTCTGCAAAGAGGGTCCTGCAGTTGGAATTCCTCCCTGGGCTCCTCCAGACCACCTCCCTCTATTCCCTAAATGGCTACAAACATTGCCCAGCAAGGTCAAGGTCAAGGTCAGGGTCAGGTGGTCCCTCTCTGATGTGGGACCCACATCTCTCTCCAGCTCTAGACCCAGATGCCAAAGGCAGTGACACAACCTGAGCCTGATGCCTCCCAGGGAATGGATCAGGGACCTGCCTTCCAGGCCTGCCCAGCCCTGTCTTTCTTTGCCAGTCCCTGGACTTCTCCCTGAGCTGCTGCAAGCCCTGAAACTTGCACCTGTAAAGAGTGATTCCCCAGGCCTCCTGTGACACCTGTGCCCTGAATCTCTGAGAGGAATCAGCCAATCTGGATGCTCTAAGACAGGCATGCACACGTGTATCACTTGTGCCTGGTGGGGCCTGGCTCTGTGAGTAGGGGGCACCACGTCTGCCCCTGAACCTTTAAACAGGGCTGTGCCCTCCTTCACCTTATCCCCTGCTCCTGACCAGGCTCTCGGCATCCCAGGGACTGACTTCTCTATGAGGGCAGCCTGAGAGCACAAATAGAAGCATCCGTACATGTGGTGACAGTCTTAGCATGCGGCTCTTTCAGGAAGGGCATCATGGCACTCAAGAGTCCTACTCTGCCCTGGCTCATCACAGCACAGTGACCCAGCATGAACAATGATCCCAGAAACCTCTCAGGCTCCTGGGGTTTCCAGCCAGGTGGGCGCCCAGCTGGAACTGAGTCGGTTGAACGAAGGTGACCCCCTAATACATCTTCAAAGCCGTCAGAAATTGGGTTATTGTGAAAAGAGTGTGAAACCTGTAAAAACTGTGAAGGGAGAGGAAGGGCAGAAGTCTGTGGCTGTGACCGTATTCTTACAGATTCTCACCAGCTCCCGGGACTTGGGCAAGTCTCCCAAGCCTGCTGAGCCTGACTTCCTCCCTTGAGAAGCAGCCTAGAGCCCTCCTCAGGGAAGGACACAGACTTTCTAGCTCCTCCCCTTTGGGACACTAGGCAGCATGCATTTCTCCTTAGGTAAGGTGTGGCTGTGTGATTTTCACTCATGGGAGTTTGCCTGGAACACACATTACTGCCATGCCAAGGCCTTAACTGGCAGGTGTGAGACTTGCCACATTCCTTCCACCTGCCATGGGGCGGTTATTCCAGAGGGAGAGGGCTTTGCCAACCATCATCCCTAAAGCTCTGGGGCAGAAAGTGAAGCTGCTCAGTCATGTCCAACTCTTTGCGACCCCATGGTCTGCAGCCTACCAGGCTCCTCCATCCACGGAATTTTCCAGGCAAGAGTACTGGTGTGGGTTGCCATTTCCTTCTTCAGGGGATCTTCCCGACCCAGGGATCAAACCCAGGTCTCCCTCATTGCAGGCAGAATGCTTTGCCGTCTGAGCCACCATGTGCTAGGGGAAAAAAAAAGCTCTGGGGCAGTATCTGCACTTAATCTATAGGAAAATGGGGAGCTATGAGCTGAGAGAAGAATGATTGGAAGAGAATTTTCCCCACGGTAATGAATATTTTACTGACGCCCAGCTCTGTTGGCTTGGAGCCAAACTGGGAGAAGCCACTGAAGTCTGAAGTCAGTTGAACAGACGACTTGTTATGTTCTGAGCACAGCCGGACAAACATGCCCCGAGGATGGAGTAGATGGATGTGGATTCCCTGGTCCATGGCCTCCCCGTGTCACTTATGTTTCAGAGATGCAGTGGCTGCAGCTAAGTCAGGAGGCTTTACAAGTTACACAGTGGGGCAGCCCTTAACTCTGAGCCTGAGAAGACAGAGCAGTAGATGGAGAATGCGGAAGAGAAGAGGGGGCGGGGCGGGGCCACCAGTTTGATTGATGACTTGGAACCTCGGGCTGACCCCGTCTACTCTCCGAACCTCAGCTTCTCTGTAGGATGGAGAGGATGAGAAAGCACAGTGCAGGGCTGCCTGAGGGCATCGTGAATTCATAAAACCCCAGGCCAGGGGCCTGGCGCAGAGTAACTGCTCTATAGCCTCTAGTTAAGGAACAGGCAGAGAATTAATGGAGGGGCTGGGGAGGGTTGAATTAAGCCCCCAAAATGGAGTGTGGGTTCTTGCTCAGAGGTTTCCGATGGAGTCTCACCTTCATCTGGTGTCACCTGCTCTCTGAGCAGTGGGGAGCCCTAGTGGGCCTTAGAGCAGGGAAGCCTAAGCCTCCCTCCTTGTGTGCAGTTGGGCGCCTTGCTCTGTGAGGAACATTTGTAAAGTCCTTGTCTTTTGTGTTCCTGGCCCTGGAGAGCTCTCTGACATCTTTTATCGCCTCTCTTGTCTCTTGTGCTGCTTTGGTTTCAGCCACACTGGCCTCCTTATACAAAAAGAACTTGTATCTGTTTCCTGAGTTATCATTCTCCTGTCAAAGGTGGTCACCCTTGGGACAATGACCCCCATTAGCTGTGGTGATGCTGAAGACAATGTGGATGCTACAGGCATGGCAGGGTGGCATGGGTACTGGAACCATGACACGGACCTTGTCTCACACCAGGGCAAGTGCATTGCAGGTTTGAGATTCTCACTGAGGATTCCCTGCAGACCTTCAGTGATGCGAATCTGCCCCAAGACAGCCCTTAGCACTCAGGGGCAACTCCCAAAAGATACAGGAGGGAGAAAGAGGATTAGAGTTTGGGCCAAAGCACATTTCTCCTATCCTCAGGCCAACAGAATTTCTATTTGAGAGAGAATCAACCTTTGCATTATGAATCATCCATCACTTGGAGGGCCTCTCATGACCAAGAGCTCCCGTGTCCGTCTCACCTGAATGAATGGGAAGAGGAGGCCGACGGCAAAGTTGGAGAGCCAGTTGATGGTGCCCACCACGGTGAAGGCAGCTGGCCGCTGGGCTTGCTGGAAGAACTCGGTGGTCAGGATGAAGGGAATGCCACCTGCAACCAGAGCCAGGGCATGGGTTAATCACCCCAGGGAGGTCTGGCCACCAGCACCCATCTCTTTTTGGCAGGAGAGCCCCTCCTGGTAAGAGACGGCTCTGCCTGGGAGAGTGACACTTCGGGGCATGAGTGTTGGAACTGTAGCCTGTAACCCCTAAAGATACACAAACCATTTCTCTGACCTGGTCCTCCCAAATGAGAGATGATTCATCTAGGCTCTCCCATCTCAGTTTGGGAATCACTAGGTTGGACTTCCCAGGTGGCAATAGGGGTAAAGAACCCACCTGCCAATACATGAGACATGAGAGACTCGGGTCCGATCTCTGGGTCAGGAAGATCCCCTGGAGGAAGGCATGGCAACCCACTCCAGTATTCTGGCCTGGAGAATCCCATGGATAGGGGAGCCTGGCGGGTTACAGTCCATGGGGTTGCAAAGAGTTGGACATGACTGAAGTGACTTAGCACACACGCACAGGCTGGATTCACTCATTCCATCAAGATTCAGTGATTACTGGCTGTGCTGGGGCTGGCCCCACAGTCCTGGAGGAGAGTGGTCATGCCCCTGCCCTTCTGAGACTCCCTTATCTGGTGGGGGAGAAAGGATGACTTGTTTATTACAAAGGAAGTGAGGGAATGATAACTAATGCAGCATGTGATAAGCGCTGGAGGAAATGCTCAAGGAAATGGAGGGGTGGACATCCACGTTAGCAGTGGTGGGGAGAGCTCTCTGGGCAGGTGATGGTGGAGATACAGCTTGAAGGAGGAGATGAAGCTTGTGAAGATTTGGGATGATCATGCCGATGGAAGGACAAAAGGGCAGAGACCCTGAGGGATGAAAAGGATTGAGAAGACTCCTGAGAGTCCCTTGGACTGCAAGGAGGTTAAACCAGTCAATCCTAAAGGACATCAACCCTGAATATTCACTGGAAGGCCTGATGCTGAAGCTCCAAAAACTTTGGCCATTTGATGCAAAGAGCTTACTTGTTGGAAAAGACTCAGATGCTGGGAAAGATTGAGGGCAGGAGGAGAAGGGGATGACCCAGGATGAGATGGTTGGATGGCATCACCGACTCAATGGACATGAGATTGAGCAAGCTCCAGGAGATGGTGATGGACAGGGAGGCCTGGCGTGCTGCAGTCCATGGGGTCACAAAGGCTCGGCCGTGACCGAGCAACTGAACAACAACAAGGTCTATAACAGAGGCCATCCTGTTTGGACATCTGAGGGGGGTGGAAAGAGGAAGGAGATGGGATGGCCAAGGTGAGTACGGCCAGTTAAGCAGCCTCTGGAGATCAAGGAGAGAGGCTATCATTGAGGAAAACTGATGAAGGGTTTAATGGAGGGGTTGATGTGATCAATTTGTGTTTCGTAGAGACCACTGCTGTTTGGAGGAAGGACTGGAGGATGCAGAGGTTGATGTAGGAGGCTGTTGGGGCTGTCAGGAGCAGACGATGGTGGTGTAGAGGGTTCGGATGGTGGCGGGGGGGATGGATGGAAGGGGCTGATTTGGGTAGTTGCCACCCCATGGATGCAAAGCTTTCAGGATGAGCATTGCACCCTGAAACCACAGCACTCATTGTCAGGTTCAACCAATCAACCCAAGATCACACAGCTAGGACCAGCTCAAGCCTGTGTCTCTCCAGAGCTTTCACCACGACTGCCCCAGCATGCTGCCAGCAAACCTTGGAGTCTGCACCTCAAAAATGACTCAGAATGGACCACCCATGACCCACGCCCTGCCCCGGCCCTGCTAGACTGTGAGTCCTCCAGGGAAGCTGGCATCTCCATTTGCCTGGCAGAGTAGACAGGTGGCTGATATTTACGTACTTGAAGTAAGTGCTCGACATTTGATTTTGAAAAGGTTTGATATACTGTTTGCTACAAAAAGGTGGATGCTTTATCATGAAGGTGTCTGTCAAAATGATGTGCAGGGACAATGGTTGTGCCCTGAAGTCCGTGACAACCGGCCTTAGGTCTGTGGAGCACGTGTGACTGACACTCCCACCGCCACGAGCCTTGCTGCACATCCCGGGGGCAGTTCACAGGGCTGAGAGCTGGTGTTTCACCTTCCTGACTTCCCTGGGTGTGTTTTGGAAGCATCTGTAGATAACTTATTAACTTATTAACACTTCTGCTGCTGGTTTATTAGTTTACAGTGCAGCAGAATATTGACAAGCCTGCCTCCTTGCACTTTCTTCGTTGTTCAGGGCTGAGGCCACGACTTGGTTACTGGTGACGGAACCTCCTCCCAGCATGGGACCTAGGACACACATAGCAGGTACTCTGTAAAGATTCACACGATCAGTGGAGGAATGGTTAAGACACCCTGGGTTCACAGGACATCTACATCATGTCTCCTCTCTCTTTTCTTCTCAGGCCTTCAGGCCACCCCTGCAGGACAAATATAAGCAACCATGAGAATCCTGCACAGCCCACAGTGCCCATAGGTTTTCATTTCCATTATTTCATTCGAACTTCCCAGCCAGAGAAGGTGGTGAGACGTGGCAGGTTAGGGCTCTGGTGTCAGTAAGAACAGGTGGAAGTTCTGGGTCCACCAGATCCCTCTAGAATGCAGATCTATCACAAGTGAGGTATGATAGAAGGGACTTACTAGTGGGAGGAGGGGGTTTGTGAGGTTTAAATGAACTACTGTGTGCAATCACTTAGTATAAGTCTGCCCCATCTGAGGTACTGAATAAATGTTAATTATTCAATAATTGTTAGCTACTAGATAATAGTTTTAAACTCATCTGAATTATTTCCTCCCATTTTATGAGCTAACTATAACTCAAAGAAGGGGCGTGACTAGCCCAAGGTCTATTGACAGGAGTGATAATGGTGATGGTGATGATAGTGATGATGGTGATGGTGATGATGGTGATGGTGATGATGGTGGTGATGATGATGGTGATGATAGTGGTGATGGTGATGATAGTGGTGATGGTGATGATAGTGGTGATGGAGATGGTGATGGTGATGATAGTAGTAATGGTGATGGTGAAGACGATGGTGATGATAGTGATGATGGTTGATGGTGATGATGGTGATGGTGATGATAGTGGTGATGGTGATGGTGATGATAGTGGTGATGGTGGTGATGGTGATGGTGATGATAGTGGTGAAGGTGATGGATGATGGTGACAGTGATGATAGTGGTGATGGTGAAGATAATGCTGCTGGTTGTGATAATGATGCTAAAAATGATGGTGGTGGTGATGATGATAATGATGCTAGTGATAATGATGGTGATGATGGTGATGGTGGTGGTGATGATGGTAGAGACAATGGTATTTCTGCTGCTGCTGAATGATGGTGGTGGTAACTATGGCAGGCATTGGGAAAAGCATTTGACATATATTATTTCACTTAATTATTACTACTATGTGGTCATAGGATTCCCTGGTGGCTCAGATGGTAAAGAGTCTACCTGCAATGCGGGAGACCCAGGTTCAATCCTTGGGTCGGGAAGATCCCCTGGAGAAGGAAATGCACTCAGTATTCTTGCCTGGGATCCCATGGATGGAGGAGCCTGGTGGGCTACAGTCCACGGGGTCGCAAAGAGTCGGACACGAGTGATCGACTTCAACTTTCACTTTTTTTTTCACTATGTGGCAGTATCACATGACAGTTAGAGCATGCCCGGGCATATCACACGATGGTTAGTGCATGGGATGGGATGTAGTTATGATTAAGGGCGCTGGGCGGCATATGGCACTCAGCTCCTGTGTCTCTGGCTCAGCTGTTGCAACAACCAAGTTTTCTTGGACAACTGCAACCCTGGTGCCCACCACGAGGAGCCGTCTGACACAGGTCTAGTCTCACAACCTTTCTCCTGCAGGAGACAAACCTGATTTCAATTCCCACATCTCTATCTACTGGCTATGTGACCAAGTGAGTGAGTGAGAGTCACTCAGTCGTGTCTGACCCTTTGAGACCCTGTGGACTGCAGTCCTGCCAGGCTCCTCTGCCCATGGAATTCTCCAGGCAAGAATACTGGGGGTAAGGACATCTACAGCTCTCAGTTTTCACATCTATGAAATGATGATAAGACTAGTTCCTGCCCCTTAGCATTGTTTTGAGGATCAGATGCAGCAAGCTTAGCAATGTGTGTCTGTCCTGTTATTTATGCTCCCGGCAAGCCTCTCTAAACATTTTCTTTAGTTCCCTTCCTCTTGCTCTGCTGTTTCCTAGCTCTTGCCAGGTACCTGAGAAAAATCTCAATTTCTACATAAAAGAAATAAAATGCAGCTGTCCAAACTTTCTTATGATTCATATTCATTAAAATTCTTCAATGGAACCACTATCGTCAATTTCAAAAGCCCTTTAAAAGGCCTAGAAATCCCTTTAAAATTCTCCATCGGTGTGTCCATAAATCACATAATCCTTTAAAACACATTTTCCCCTGGAGTACCAGCTTTGAAAAATAGCTTATTAAAATTTTTAAATCAAATATAATTATTTTGAAAATTCTTTATGGCTATTCTGCTGTTTTTCACTAGGCTTAATCTTGTTTGTCCATTTGCTCACCCATTTTCATCCAACGTTTATGTACCAAGTCCTTTGCTGAGTATTTTCAGAATTTACTAGTTCACATCCTAATCCTCCACTGGACACGTGAGGAAACCAAGGCACAGCGCAGCAGAATGGCTTGCTCGAGGCAGCACAAGCTGTAAATGATAGTGAGTGCCAAGTCGTGTCCGACTCTGTGTGACCTCATGGACTGTAGCCTGCCAGGTTCCTCTGTCCTTGGGATTCTTCAGGCAAGAATCCTGGAGTGGGTTGCCATGCCCTCCTCCAGGGGATCTTCTTGACACAGGGATAGAACCCACGTCTTATGTCTCCTGCATGGGCAGGTGGGTTCTTTACCACTAGTGCCATCTGGGAAGTCAGACCTGATCCCCAAACCAAGAGCTTCTGGTGTGGGGAAAAGATTCTCTCCCTTGCTCTTTCCCTAGGAGATGTTAGACAGAGGATAGAGACAGGGTTTCCAAAGAGC